TCTAAGGCAGAAGTATTGAGTCACAGATTTAAATTTCCAACACTTTAAATAGCTGTAAGATTTTTGTTCGATCACAGTATGAAAACATGTCCACGGGAAATCATTATTGAGTTTTCAGTACTGTATTCTAACACAGAAATGTTCTCTAATTAGGTAAGATCTAGGCTGATTTCATTCCTATTAAAGTCCTAGTACACGATAGTTTATTAAAATGAAAGTATGTAGATAGCGTTTGTCATGTCATTTACTAATTAATTATTGTGAAACAGTTTAGAATTTCATAGCACAATATAAATACTGTTGCTATTTTTATTAGTAATAATGGAAGTTTTTAACTAGTGACATTATTCAGATGACTGAACATCCAAATGTTTGCACTTCATCCAGGGACATAAATGAACAGTGAGGCTAAATTTAAAGCATTTTGAATGAGATTACTTTCAAAGTAAAATAAGTGTCAACATGAAACATGCTTTCAAAATCTTGATTAAGAAGGATCTCTTTATCCCTGGTACCATAAGACTGAGTTCCCATTCTCTTTGCATTACTAATTCTTTCTTGATTCTTCAAAAACCACAGTCAATGTGAAGTAAAGGAGACATCCAGGAAGTTGTAATTTTTTTTTTGAATTTTTAATAAATCAAGGCATAATTTTATCGGTTGTCCCTTAGTGACATAAAGAAAAAAATGAAATAGGTTCCCAAAGTATCCCGATATTAACAATTATTGAAAAGTATTGGATGCTTACTGTAGGCCGTGTGCTTTCATGGGCATTGCCTTATTCATTCATCAGTATTTACTGAACTCCTGCTATATGCCTGGCCCTGTTCTAGGATCTGTGGGGAAGCAGTGAACCAAAGATAGACAAAAATGCCTATCTCCATAGAGCTTACATTCTCCTTGCCTTGTAGGGATAGACAAACAAAAGTAAAATATATAGTATGTCAAGTATTGGTGAGTGCCACAGTTTTAAAAAAAAAAAATGTTTCTTTTTTTCTCAAGGCTATGAAGCTGGATAGGGAATTCCATTGGAAGGAGTAATAGTTTTAAATAGGGTGGTCAGGAAGGCCTTACTAAGACAACATTTAAACCAACACTTTTAAGAAGGTGTAGGAGCCACCATTTTTGTGAGAATGGTAGAGAGAGATGTAATAGCATATGCAAAGCTCTGAGGTGGTGATTACCTGGAGTATTTGAAGAACTATGAAAAGTACAATATGTATGATAGGATTACTAGAGGGAAAATGGTAGAATAGTAATATGGGGGGGGCAAATTGTGGGCCTTTATAAAGATTTTTACTTTTATCAAAGTGAGACTAGAAACTGTTGGAGAGTTTAGAGCTCATATGTGATATAATCTGATTTACTGATTATGCTAAAAGCATCTGTGTTGAAAATAGACTGAGGCTGGGGTATAAGGATGAAAGCTAAGAGACCAGATAAGAGGCTCTTGTAACAATTTGAATAAGAGGTAAAAGGTTGGACCAGGAGAGAAGTGGTGCAATAGAACAAAGAAGATGTATTTTGAAAATAGAACCAATACGCTTTGGTCATGAAATATATGTGAGAAACAAGTCAAGTTTGTTGATTTTTGGCTAAAGCAACTGTTAAGATAGAATTGGAGAAGGTAGTGGGAGGAGCGTATTTGTGGAGTGGAAACTAGATTTTAACTTATTTAATCTGAGATACCTGTTAAACATTTTAGTAGAGATCTAAGAGGCAAAGATAGGAAATGCGGGATGGCCAACTATGAAATTAGATGAGGGTACCATAGGAGAGCATGTAGATAGAGAAGGCAGGCTGTCAGCTGACTGAGGCCTGGGGCAGGCTGAGAGGGCAGAGAGATGGCCATGAGCAAGCAAAGGAAACTGGAAAAGAAGCAGCCAGTAAGGTAGAAGAAAATCATAACAGTGTGTCATTGAGAGGTTAAGTGGGGAAAGGATTTCAAGGAAGAGGTGTTTACTTGGTCAAGTTTTACTGGTAGGTATTGAAAGAGGAATGTGTTTCATGTATGCCTCACAGTAATGTTATGAGGGAGCACTGTGACAGTATTCCCATTTTACAGAGGCGTGAACTGAGGTAAGGATAACTTAAGTAACTTGACTAGGGTCACAGCTAGTAAATAGCAGAGCCAGGGTTAGACATAAGCCCAAGATACAATGGATAACTGAATTTTGCAGTCTCTGGTCTTTGGATGATTTAGTTAGTTTTGTTCTTGATTGCCCCGATGCTTGAAATCCCCTCCTTCTATACTTTGAAGAGAACAAACCTGTGTACTACATTGTGTGTGTGCTCATACATACATGCATACATAAGTACACACATGCATGTGCTGGCGTGTGCATCACATATCCCCAGGAGTACCCAAGAAATTGGTTGCCTGTAAGCTCTTGACACTCAGGAAAGGAACTGAGTTAGTTAAGAACAAAAATAAGAGGTAGACTTTTCGCAATACCTTTTAGTGTCTTTTGAATTTTGTGTCATATACATTGAAAAACAGGCATTTGGTTGGAAAACATTTAGTTTTTTTAAAAACTAAAGAAAAAGAAAAGAAACTTGCCTGAAATTCTCTCATATCCAGACATGATTTATTCTTTCAGATTCTTTGTCCTAACAACATCTCAGAAAAAGAATTACTTTAGAGAAGAAAGGTGTTTGATGTGTACTTCCTCCCCTTGAAAACACTGGTGCCCGAGTGCTTTCACCTCTTAAGATTTTTACCATATTTTTCTGTTTCTTCTTATTTCAGAATTCTTATTTATCTCTGTATTCCTCACAGTATTCTTGCTTCCTTGGTGTCTTACTCTACCCAGCTCTTTCTTTCTCCTGTTTTCAACTTCTCCATCTCTGCTAGCTTTCCCACTTGTTCAATACTCTTCCTTCTAGTCATATTCTCCACCAAGTCCCCCTCTTGGGTATTGCCCAGCCCTGTTCTTCCTCTTTTTATTCTTCTCAAATATATCTACTATCTCCTTTCTTCACTTTCTTCAACTTCTTTTTTTTTTTTTTTAAAGATTTATTTATTTATTTATTTATACAAGCACTGGGTACAGTCAGAAGCACAGGAGGGTGAAAGAATTCACCAGAGCCAGAGCAGGGAGCAGAACAGGCAGACTGACGAAATACACTGCTGAGGGGAGCAGCCGGCGTGGCAGGAGAGGTCTGCGTGCCATGTGGGACCCTCGCTGGTGGCTGGGGATTGAACTGGCACTGCAGAAGCTCCGGGCAGCTTCGCAGCCCAGCGCTCAACCGCTGTGCCACCGGGGAGGCCCTCCTTTTCTTCAACTTCTATCTGATTTTAAAAACTCTTCTTAGCATGGAATGTAGATTACATACTGAAAAATGCATAAAAACATTGTATACAATTTAATAAATTAGTGAAAATAGTGACATACTCGCAAATTTTTAACTCCCCCATGTTCAACAAACAGAAAGTTGCAGCTACCCCATAAACTTCTGTGTGCTCTTCTCCCCCCACTGAAAGTTTTTCTGTGTAATCACTCCTCTCCTTGCTCTTCTTTATAGTATTAGCAGCTTTGTATGCATCTTTTTCAGTCTTCACAGAATCCAGAATTCTCCTAGGTAAGGTTATCCATGAACAATTTCCAGTGATGTTTCTCAGTTCTGCTCTCATTAGGCCTCTGCTCTCTCTGACTTTGTAGATCAGTTTATCGAACTTCTTGGAAGTATTCTCTATGACCTGGGACTGTATTCTCCCGTGGTTCTGTATCTTTCAACCTTCTCTGCCTGCCCCTTATGTGATGTGCCCAGGGTTGGGTCCTGAGCTTGCTGCTGTTTTTACTGGTTGCGGCCAGCCTACCCACTCTGGTCATGTCAGCCTCTCCACTATGTTGCGGGTTACTTTGAGACTTAATCTTCAGCTCAGTCCCGTTCCCTGAACTTTAATCTTACATAGACAACTGCCGGGAGGACACCTCCATCTAAACACTCAACATCTAAGAAAGACTTCATCATCTTCCCCTCTGAATTGGCTTCCCCCACTTTCCCTACCACTTGTGAATCGGTTGTGGCATCACCACTCACTAGTTTACACAAGTTACAAACCTGGAAAGCCTCATTTCCCTTATTCCCCATATCTTTTCCATGATCGAACATGACCAGTCTTATTTCTCATGTATTTCCCAGATCTTTTCCCTTTCCCTATTTTTGTTACTCTTGTCTAGGCCCTCGTCACCTCATCTGGAACTCCTGACAGCCACTGCATTGGTCTTCTTCATTGGCATCTTACTTTCTGCCTTATCTTCATCCTCCCTGTAACTACAAGCCAAAGTGGTTTTTCCAAAATACAATTCTAGCTATTCTGCACCTGTTCTTAAAACTGAATAAAGTCCAAGCTCTTTAATATAGCTTATAAGGTCCTCCATTCTCTTACCCAGCTTTCTCCAGCCTCATCTTCAACCGTGCCTGGACCTGTACCCCAGACTCCATCAGCATGTGAGCTCTCTTGTAGTTTCATGCCATTGTTCTGCTGTCCCTCCAGCCTAGGATCCTGCATTTCATTCATTTATACCTACTTCTGTGAGAGTAAATTTAAATTTTATATATCCAGGGAAGGTTTCCCTGACCTCCTTCACCCCCTTGACTAAGTTCATTGGTGAGTCCTCCTTACCATGCCATTAAAACTTTACACATATCTATCACTGTCTGACATTATTCCGTCACTACCTATTTATAAATCTGTTGTATCCTGCATTATTCTCCTCTGTCTGAGTTACCCAATACCCACCACCATATTGGGCACAGTGCCAAACAGAATAAAGAGCAAAGAAGGAAAGAAAGGCACTTATTGATGCTAAGAATAAAAGAATTATTATCTTATACATTTTAACACATGGAATCATCTGAATATGGGGTCTCCACACTAAAATCTGGGAAGCAGTATTTCTAAGGACTCTTCTAAAAAAGAACTGTTTTGAAAAGAATGAGATTTTAGTTTTCTTCTAATATTTAATAAAGCCTCACAAATATTCATGTTGCAGACCAAACCTGGACCACCCAAAAAGCCGAAGACCCCTTCTGGAAAATCAGCCTTGGCATATTGCTACAACTGTGGGCAAGAAGGCCATTATGGACACGTAAGTCTCAGTGGAGTCTGGGCATAAAACATTCTATTATTCAGAGAGTAACTCCTGAAAAAAGAATTAGAAAAGAGTGTAATTCTGGACACTTGCTTTTTTTTTTTTTTAACATATAAAAATTTAACATCCTGACTGACATACTTCTCTCATCCCTACCAGACTACCAGATGTGGCAGAGCCTGTTCCTCTGATTGTTTTTAATATACATGAACAGGTTAGGCTAAAACAAACCCAACTCATAAAATCAGCCAGACATATAATAATAGTCAACAGGATGATAGCAGTTCTCATGAGCTTTTATCATTGCTAGTACTTCAGCACAGACAAATCATGGTTTTAGATTTTCTGTGTAGTCTTTCAATATCTGCACTTTTCCCTGGTATAGTGTTCTGTAAATCATCATTCACATATAAACCCTGACAGTCACCAGTGGAAAGACAGCGGTGCTGCACCATCAGCTCTCAGTCCCACAAAGGTCCAGATTCCATGTTCAGCCTGCACAGTCCCTAGCCCCACCTGAAAGTACCAGACTTTATATGTTCTTGACGCTGAGGTGTCAGAGCAAAACAAACTTTACTGTGAGCGGAGAATAGGTCTTCTAGCCAGCTGTCATCCCAGAGCCAAGATGCAATAGAATAAAGACACAGAACCCATCCATTCAGTATGGGAAGCTCAAGGCAGAGGAGGGAAGTTAGTAGTACAAACTAGTAGTAGGAAATCCATGTGGAGAAATTTATCTACAATCTCCAGGTAAGCTTCTAACAGCCTAGAAACCAAGATAAACTGACACCACATCAGGTCTGATGACAGGAGGAGAAAAACACACAGGCCACCAGTCCTCAAAATGGGTCAGGGAGTGAGCAGCAAGATGGGTAGGGTTGCAGGTCACAACTTGAGTTCTGACTGTGACTCTTCTTTGGTGCACATGTTGAAGCTGGAGCTGTACAGTATGGGAGGGGACAGACTTGGAGGATGCTGGACAGAGCCCAGCAACAGCTCAAGTTTATCTTCCACTTTGGGCAGCAGGACTGTAGAGTGAAAGGGTAGAATATAAAAGCTAAGATGAGGTTCTGATCCTCAGTTCTAATTTCAGCTCTCTGGTCTTCAGGTTCTTTATCTCCAAAGCAAAGAAAGTGTACCGGGAGATCTCTCAGCACTGACATTTGGGTGTGTTTTCCAATGAGATCAAATCCATGGTGCGGTGATATCAGTGGAGAAACTGCAATATATACTTAATTCGCTGCTATAGAATTTACACTGAGAACTTAGAGAATACTTCTTTTACAAAATTACTGTCTCTAGGTCTCTTATTATGTGCATTCCTCCTTGTTGGCAAAATTCAGATGTTGCCAACACTGTTTTGGAAACATAGTCACATAGGCAGTCCACTGCCACACAAATCACAGAGGTATAATTTATGCTTGCTTACCTCTTTAAAGCAAAGGAATATAATTTTAACATTTATGTTTGTTCAATTAAAGAAAAACAATTATAGTTGGACACATACTGCTTACTAGTCACTTCTGTTTGTGGAGATAGGAAATACATTGAAAGCATTTGGAATTTATCCCTGAAATCTAGATTGAGATAATTTATAATTCATAATGAAGCAAATTTGGCAGTCTCGTCACTGCCATAGATGAAGAACTCTAGATTATCCACACTAATGAAGAAGATCAGTGGTGTGGCTAATCCAGAATAGTAGATAAATTATATAGCCAACGATCAATTGTCTGTGCTAATGGAGAAGACCAGCGATGTGAATAATCAAAATATAATTTACATTTAGCTCTGGAAAATATTTATAATACTGTATAGCTTTGTATAGACCATAGGAGACCCAAATTGGAGACTATGCAGATAGCTAAAGATGTCTGAGGACTTTTCCCATTCAGATTTAGAAATTCAGCTCTAAACAAGTTATTGAATAGCTTCTTCATGTGCAGGATAACCTGAGGTGGATACGACATCGCCCTCCTTGATTCCACTCTGGAGTGGGGGGTGGGGCGGGGACAATTACAAGCAGCTACATGGGAAGGAAACTACAAAGCAACTACTCCAGGGGGGTATGAGGTGAGTGGGGTGTGGGCAGGATGAAGGCTCTGTTGAGGTGGGTATTGAAGGAGTATATCAGAGTCTCTAGTACCTTTTTGTAATCATAATTTACTTTTAATATTTTATGATTAGAATCTGTACCTATTCAGGCTGCTATCATCATAGACTTCTAGCTTAGAAACAATAGAAATTTATTTCTCACAGTTATGGAGGCTGGGATGTCCACAGTCATGACACTGGCAAATATGGTATCTGGTGAGGGCCTCTTTCTTGCTGAGTCTTCACTCATTAGAAGGGCTAGAGAATTCTGTGGGGCCTCTTTCATAAGAGTATTAGTTCCATTCATCACAACTCCACTCTCATCACCCACAAAGGCTCTACCTCCAAATACTATCACCTTGGAGATTCTGATTTCAACATAAGAATTAAGGGGGCATGGGGAGGAACATAAACAATCAGACCATAGCAGAATCTTGGGCCCAAGTCTTTGGTGAATATCCTTTATTCTGGAAATGTGGAACCACCATGGGTAGTGGTTTAGGAAAGCAACTCTTTATGTTACCATATTGATTTGATGGAAGGCAAGTGGCAGACATACACTAATAGACTAATAGACTACACTAATAGACATGCACTAAGCAAAGGACTAATAGAATATTTAAGGCCAAATAAAATAAACCCTCTAATAAAGGCATAGGTAGTGGGGATCCACACCACATCACTGATTAACTCAACCTGGGGGAGGAGGAAATGAAGAGGGGAGACATTTGACAGGGAAAATTGGGGAGAAAAGAAGGGTTTCATAGGTTAAAACGTACAGTGAGAAAATCAGAGCCTAAAATAATAGCATGTAAGCAAGCATGGCTTGGTGCCAGGCTGACTGATCCTCCCAGTGGCCCAGCAAGATTGCATCCTGCAGCCACAACATGAGGTGTCAGTGATGGGGGGCTCCCCTCTCATTACAGTGGTCCAGAATCTTGCAAAAACCTTGTGTGAACAGTATGACATTGTGACGTCATAATTTAAAATACAATTTGCAGGAATGTACAGAAAGACGAATGTCTAACCAGACCTTCCCAACATCTCCATTCATCTACTACTACGATGACAAATACGAAATTCGAGAACGAGAACAGAGAATAAAACGAAAAGTGAAAGGTATGTTATTAGATTTCTTGTTGGATCATCTTTGCAGTAGTTCCTAAATTCTTTTTTTGCACTGTCTTTGCCAGCTTTGGAGGTCCCTAGTTGGTAAAGAAAATATTTTTAATAATTACAGAAGCGGGAACTTGTTTGATTACCAGAAATCAAGTACCTACCTCAAAAATCTTGCCTTCCAGCCATATTGTCGCAATTGGCATGGTATGAAAACATACCTTTGTAGAGGTTTGCACCTGTAACCCCCAAAAGCATTCACAACAACGTAAACCAGCTTTACCTCAATAAACATAATTTTTCAAAAAATTCTTGTGTTATGATCTGTTCACAGTAAACATTTTTCTTGTGATTTTGGAAAATACTTCTATCCACATGTATATGCATGTGGATTTTTGTTTGACAAGTAACTATTTTTCCCTTTATAAGTTCCTGGCATTTTTCATGCAGAGAGAGGCTTTCCCAGCTGACTGATGCCTGGAGCTTCCCCTAAGAGTCATGTTTTTCAGGCCACCCTACGAGCTGAGCCCTGGGTCCACAGCCATCCTGCTGCAGTTTCTTTTCTTCTGGGTGCTGATGTAAAGTTCTAGCTCCAATTACCGTCTTATAACTTAAGTCTGTTTTCTCTACCCCTGTTCTTTCTTGCTGCCTACCTCAGGATGGTTGACTAGGATGGTTACTTTTCTTGCTCCTGGGACAAAATAGTCCTTTATTGTTCTGGTTGGCCTATACTTTGTTCTCTGCCTCCTTTATTATTTTGTAGACTCTGATTCCAAGTCCTTTTAAAAATGAAGATACTGAAGGAAACAAGGACTCAGAGGGAAAATAGAGCAATTATTCTCAACTCCTGCATGTTTTACATATTATATTTCAAATAAAATTTATCTCAACTATATAGAAATTATAGTACATGAAGATAGGTAAGCAACTAAATTGGAAAAAAGATTAAAAACAATATGCCAAAATGTTTTCTCTAGATTAAAGGACTATGGGTATTTTCTGTTTCATTTTCTTTATACTTTTCTCTCTGTCCCAAGTTTTCCATAACAAAGGTTTGTAACTTTTATGCTCAGAGAAAAACAATTTGTCTTCCTTTTTAGTTAGTTTTATTGAAAACCCCAGTCCACTGAGAGGCTCACTAATTTTTATTGTATGCTGAAGGCTATAGTAATTGCTTATTTTTGCCGCACATTCTGGAATTCCCTTTTTCTCCCTAAATACACTGGTTTGTACTTCATCTGTTGGACACTTCTTTCATCTTTCCGGGTTCTGTCGACATGTCAGTTTTCAGCCCTCACTGTAACCATCTGTCACCTGCCCTCTCAGAGTCACTACCGCCAGACACTTAGAGCAAGAGGACCAAGCCCTGGCAGATACAGCTTCACATTCGGCACTAATGCCTCTCAGCTACACACAGGCATGCACGCGCGTGTGTCTCTCCAAGCCAGTTATCTTTGAGCTAGAGGAATAATCTCCTGTCCAGCTTGGCATCTACTACAAGTACTATGGCCAGACTTTATCGTCAGAGGGTAATTGAAATGTCATATGAGATTGTCACAAGGCCATTTTATACATGTAGCTTCACCTTATCTTAGAGGGCTGTCTCCATTACCACAGGAACTTGAATTGGTCCGACAGGACTTTCCTTCACAAAGCGAACATGATCACGGCTCTCGCTGGTCCACATCTCCAGTGTCTGACCTAGTGCAGTATTGGAAAGGACAAGTGCCATTGGATTTCCAGATGTTTTCCCTTTTTAATAATCAGAAATGATGTACTACAGCCAATTTGATGTTTGCCTTAGAAACGGTTCTTTAAAAATGTATCATTGGTGCTTTAATGGTGTCAGTAGCTCCTTTAAATGTCTGGCTCCCCTCTCTGCTAAATTATTAGTCTGTGAGAGCTCTGCATGAATGATCTACCTACTAAATATGGAAAAATACTTTTGTATTTTCCAGAACTCCAGAAAAATGGGGATTTTCCCAAGCAATTCAAGAGAACTCATATGGAACCCCTGGGTAAGAGCCCTCACCACGATAAGAGGAAGAGCCATGGCCCAGGGAAAAACAACCGGTGGTCTCAAGAAAAGAAGGAAACGCAAAAAGAAGCCAAGGGCAGGAATAGTAGGGAGCGGGAGAAGCGCAGGAAGGCTGACAAGTGTCACGAGGAGGACGAGGACTTTCCAAGGGGCCCCAAAATCCACCCTGCAAAGTCCAGCACATTCAAACCCCAGAAGGCTCACAAGTCCTTCCACCGCTCATCACATCACCACAAGCCCAGGGAAGACAAGCTGCCCAAGGAGGGCAAGCGGGGCAAGCCCAAGAACAAGCAGAGCCACTTGGAGGAGGATGGCAACGATAATTTATTCTTTATCAAGCAGAGGAAAAAAAAGTCTAAGGTGCGGGACAGCTTCTGATTCTGCTTCCCGGCATCTGGGGGGTCACCACATCCCCCCACGGCCAGCAGCATCTGTGTTGTCTGTGATTCCCTGAGTGAGTTCTTATTCCCAGCCACACCAAAGCTGCTCGCCAGGGACCTGGGAGTTCATAGGTCCAGCAGGCCATTATGGAAGTAAGCAAAGACAAAGTCAGACTTGCCCCTGTTCTGGTACATCATTTTTACTCAGAATCTAGGGATAGGAAGAATTTATGTTTTGAAGAAAACTTTTGAAACTACTTTGAAAAAATAAAAGTTTGTCAATTTTAATTCGTATGCAGTATGAGTATGGAAATTAAATCCTTTCAGGAAGAGAAATTAAGGGAAGTATGAAAAATTCGTCACTCTTTCAGCATTACCTTTTTTTTTTAAACATTGGAAAGGATAATAACTATCGATCTAAATCCAGTCTTTCTTGCTTCTGAAACTGGTGTCAGAATCTTCCTTTGGTGAAAATATCACAAGTGCAAAATGGAGGTCTCACCACCAAAGTCCTAGTGAGACAAGGAATCACTGCTGGAGCAAAATACAAGTGAGGCATCGAACCCGCACGGAATGTCGCAAGACAGGTTTCCTGAAATGAGTTGAAAAAGACTCATCAAAGATTTTGATATAATCTCAATAAAATGATTTTTACCATTTTTGTAGCCAGATTCCAACAAGACTGCCATTCATATAGAGATGAAATTGCCCAACTTAAAAAATTGCTTGTTTTCATGGGTTTTTTTTAACTGCCACAAAGCTATACAAAAATTTTGTACTTGTGTACCTTTTGTACTTATCAAAGCCAAATGTAGAACAAGAATAAAATGTCTGAAATAGAGTAAATAACATGTTTTGTAAAAAGATGATGCAAATTTGGGTGACAAAGGACTTCAGGATCTGAGCTCAAAAGGCACTTGTGACCCAAGCTCTGCTCTGAGCAAAAGTAGAACAGGATGGAATCAGGTACATTTTGCTTCTTAAATGTGTGTTTTACTCTTTGCAAAGTACACAAACTGCTACATAACTTTTGTATCTTTTGTGGGGGGAAAGGAGATTCTCTCCTCCCTCCCGAATCGAATTGAGTGTCAGTTGTAGGTCCATGATCTTTCTAGTCCACCACCTTCCCTGCACCCACCCAGCTCTCAGCTAAGTGTAAGGTGCTTGGTTTTATAACATCAGCTGCGATTATTTGAACCCTAAGCTGAGTGCTCAGTCTTTTTACATCCTTGGTGTGGTGACAGCCACAAACGATGGCTCCCTAGAGCGGTGAACCCTGAGATAATTGGCATTATTCCTCAGGGGGACCTGGGCGGGCGTGGTTTATCTGTGTGGGCATGGTTTATCTGTGTGCTGTGACTGCGATCCTGAGGATCTCGCTTCAGAGCATAACTGGAATTGCCCTTCTTTACGGTCTTTCATACCTAGAGGATTGCTCAGAGGATGGGAGGAAGGAGCTCTCCCCCCCACCCCATTTGTTTCTTCACATTATGTTAAATTTTCTCCTTGTTTTTCTTTATTAGTCAAATATTTTGTACTGTGCCGGTGACCAGCCTCCGGCAAAGTCGTGTCAGGGGTTCCTGAAAGGATGAGACAGCCTCGGTGACCTGTAAGGGGCTGAAACTTAAGGGCTGAGGGGAAGGGGATGAGGTAGAATGAGGAGACACCGACACTTGGTGAGGTGTTAGTATCTTCTCCCGAGAGGCTCAGCAGGATTTTTATTTATACATTTTTTGCAAGCAATGAGATTACATTATCATGTGCATAGAAACAAAGGAGAAACAATCAGTGCATCTCTTTTTCCATAAGCTTTTGGCCACTACGTGCTCTCAGTAAGAAGGCAACCTTCAAGGTTAATAAAAAACTAAGCCTTATACTAAAACTCAATGTTTCAGCTAAACAATAACCTAAGACAGTAGATAGCCGCCAGTACATCCCTATCAGCCAAAGCCTAAGCAAGAAAAGACTCCTCTTATTCACATGGCCTTCAGCCGGGGGACCAGCTGCTACTCAGCTATCAGAACTTTTTCTACCTAGAAACTCCTTAACTCAAATAGCTTCATTTAAAAACTTGCCCAAGAAACTTCAAGAGAAGGCAAAAGAAGGACCTACTGTAATTATTGTGTTGTAATGCTTGTCAGGCATGTTCAATAAATTGTCCCCCATTGTCAAGTGGGCCAAACTGCCCAACAACTAATTTCTAAACAGACAATTTTCCGTGCCATTTACTTACAGTATGCTGATACATGTAATTTATTGCCTAATATACTTTCTGATAAATTTTTCTCTCTCTATGACCAAGAACAAAAAGCAAAGGGATACCAGATCTTCAGCCCCATGGTGTGAGGCCCTTTCTCTTAGCTGCTTGTCAGTATCCTATCTGGCTGGGGCAACAAAGCTCCCTGCAGCAGTACTGGAATATAATTTGCCCTTCAGGTCTGTGCATTTTTTTTTTAAAGATTTATTTATTTATGCATACAAGAGCTGGGATACAGGCCAGAGATCCCAGGGGTGAGAGGATCCACCAGAGACAAAGTGGGGAACGGAGAACTGGCAGATTGACTGAAACACAATGCTGAGGGGAGCAGCGGGCGAGACAGGAGAGGTCTGCCTCGCCATGTGGGTTGCTCCCTGGCCAGCTGGGGATCAAACTCATGCTGCAGAGGCTGCAGATTGCCCCATAGTGCGATGCTTAACCCCTTGCGCCACCAGGGAGGCCCAGGTCTGTGCATTTTTATCCAAGTGGGAAAGGAGACTGAGCTGCTTTTTGTCGGCGTGAGGATGGTGGGACGAGCAAAAAGCCAGAGGCACTTCTTCATTGCCCGTGACACCAGGTTCCTACACCAAGTGTTGAGCTAAAAGTCAGTCTGCATACATTAACTTTCTGTACAAAATAAGGGAGCTTAACGTTTATAGATTTGACAGTGAAGTATGACTTTAAGTGAATAAATAGCACTGAAAGAAGAAAAGTAAATGGCCAAATGATAAGGCCCCATATATAATTAGAATAAGGAAGACTAAAAGTCTTTTTGCTCAGGCCCCAAGGGGCTAGTTTCCCAGCTCCATCATGGAGAGAAACTCTCCCATGCACTCAATGGAAACTCTTGCTTTCATGGACTATGCTATTAGCAGTGCTTATTGTTAGCACTTTATGTTTGTATACATTTTATACAAGGATTACATTCTCATTTTAAGGGAAACAATTTTTTAAAACAAAATCTTACCTGATTTTTCCACTCAAAGCTACAGTTAAAACTTTTAGTTCTATCCTTTAGACATTTTTATGTACATACATACTTTGTTTTGTAACGTATTTTTTCATTTAATACATTGTGAAAATCTAATCAAATGTATTACCTACATTATTTTCAAGGGCTACATAATGTCCTATGATAATTGATACCGAAATTGTCAGGTCTAGTCTCCCAGCGCTGAGTCCCAACCACTAGACCCCCACGGGTTGGTGTTTTTCACGAAGTCGCATCAGGAACTTCGCAGACTCTCAGGCAAGCAAGCGAGAAGAGGCAGGTTTGTTTAGAGAAAGAAAAAATTTATTGAGGAGAAAAGGAACAGAAATAAAGTGGACTCCCAGGCCATGAAACAAGGCCAGGGAGGGGCAAGGAAGCCAAAGGGGAGTCGTGTCTCAGGGAATATAGACCTTCTTTCCCTCATTATTTTAAAGCTCTGCCAGTCTCTTTGTGATTGGCTAGTTTTTGGCTGTCTCACTTAATCTGCTACTGAGCAGGGGATCTTTACATTCCTTATCTAACAGTCTCCCAAATGAGCACCCCTGCATTATAGGGAAGAAAGTCAAACATCAGCTATTGAAGAAAAACAGGCTGGCGCCCACTGATCTCAGTGCTGACCCCTTCTCACCTCCCCCTTGCATAAATATCCCTGCACTCTGACAAAGGGCAGGACGGTGGTCTTTCAGACATGACTCTGCTGCCCTCCTAATTTGTCCATAAATTAAGCCACTCTCCCTTTACCACCTGAGGGAAACCAAGGCCAGCGTTAACAATGTTGTCCTTGGTCCTGGGATGTTTATTATTCCCAGTGGAATTAGTTGCATTCCTCTTATTGCCCTTATCTCTGAAGCCTTCCTTAATTCTCCTGAGGTTCCCCACCTGCACTGTCCTTGAGGCTGCCTAATTCTCCCTAACTTGCCCTCGGATTCAATATGACTATACCATAATTTATTTAATCAATTCACTGTTGCTGAACATTTTGTTTCCAATTTTCAGTATTTACAAAACATCCTTCAACATATGTCCTCCTCTGACTAGTTAATAAAATAGAATTTATGGGTCAAAGAACATGAATATATTTCATTCAAGTTTTAATATCTATTTCAGTATTTATTCCCCAAAGTCAGGTACTCCACAGCCACTTCTACATTCCTGGCAGCGGGAGAGATAACATACTCCCTTGATAGTGGATGTTTTCGTTCCTTTTTCTCTTTGCCATTCAGATGAGCAAGGAAACACTATTGGTTAGTGCTTCAGTGTGAGAGTGATGTGGGCTGTGTTTATGGAAGGAGAGACAGGATTAACTCTCATAATCTGTTGATAAAAGATACAGAGAAAAGCTTCTCATAGGAAACAACCGAAAACTCTTCTGCCAACAAAAGATTACATAGCAAGTAAGAGCCTTTCATTCCTTCATAGCTATCTTGATCCCTTGGTCTTCCACTTTTTTGGTTTTCACAACTCAGAGGGTGCTGCTGGTATCTCGTTAGTGAAGAGAGGCCAGGGATGCTGCTAAGCACGGGAATGCACACAACAGCTCTCACAACAAAGAAGTATCCAACCCCAAAGGTGAGTGGTGCTGAGACTGAGAAACCCTAATTGAAATCCTGACCAATTTCTCAAAAGGAATTTTGCTCACTAGGAGAGGCGTTCAGGACGGATCCTCATCTTACAAGGCTTGGCCCTTCACCCAACTGTGACAGTGTTGTGAGTTTGATGGGATGTGTCCCATTGATCTGAAATAAGGACCACTAGTTCCATGGCATGAAGGTTGACAGACTGTTTGGGCCACTTTATCATGGAGAGACAGGGCCACTTGAGATTCAGCAAGCTGAGGGGAATTACTAGTATAACCTGGAAGCCTGGATGCAAATACTAGCGCATCTAGCTGTGGCCTTAGCTCTGGTAAGATGGGTTTGTTATGGTATGTGAACAAGGAGTTTTAACTGGTGGGGAAGAATTGGAGACCACCTAGTGGGAATGATGAAGAACGTCAAGTTGCAAGAGCTGTTACCAGGCCCCAGGACCAGCACAGGCCCTTAGGTTTTATGTTGGACTTGGATTTCAAAGGAGTACTGGAGTACCAAGTGTTGGAAGACACGGCTTTTTATGCATGCCAGGGAGTCATTTCGTGTGATGAAGCTCTCACACTTGCTCAATCCAGAGAGCATAACTTAAATTTCTGGTTCATTTAATGAACATTGTACATACCCATGCCAACAGTCATGAAGTAAATCACTTTCTAAGGTGATGCACTAGAAAGCATGTCCAATAAAACCTAGTAAGGGAGTAAAAAGACGGAAAAAGGAATATATGGATTCTAAGCCAGTCGCCTTACCAAGTCAAGTCCCACAGAGGGAAGCTGTCAGACTCCTGAGGGAGTCTGTTTAGTTCTGTTTTAAGTCAGTCACTATTTAAGAGCTGCCCCCAGGCATCTTTTCCAGTAAACTCTAGCTGTATGCTCCCCAAGTGACTTTAGGCAACACCCTGACAGAGACATAGGGCTATGAATGAAACACTAACGTTCATGTGCTGTATATAACTATTATCTCAAGAAGGTTCTTCCCACAAATGGATACTTGGCAGTCATGCACCAGAATATTTTTTATTATTTTTTGAATACAGAAAATACAACTTCATTTAGATGTGTTACATGGAACTATTTTCTCAATAAAGTTTATCTGTTTAACCTACCCATATTTGACAGTGTTACCTGAAAGAGTTCAGAATATCAAATTTATTGTAGCATTTATCATAGTCATTATCAAAATAGTTTCAGGAATTGCTGCTTCCAGCCAGGATTGGACTAGTAGGGACCAGATTTACCCCCCATCCTGAGGCAATGTAAAAATATATATGAAGTTTTCAAGACAGGACATCACAGAAGGAAGGACTGCACTCTGCAATAGCAGATATGAGGGGTGTGCCCTGCGGTGGCCCCATTTGACTGGAGAGCTTCCCGATGGTGGAGCCAGGAAGGAAAGCCCAGGAAGAGCTTTGTGGAGCTGAGGAAACAGATCTAGGAGCCTAGAAAATCCAAAATGGCTAGAGTTTGTGGATCAAATCACCAGAGAGAAGAGACCTACATGGAGAGAAAACAGCAATCCCAGCGGTGCCCTGCGGAGTCTTCAGCTGAGAGATGATCAGCAGCACATCGTGTGAGGAGGCCGCCTGAAAGGAAACTCTAGAGCTCACACAGAGCTAAGAATAGTTTGTTCTCACCAGTAAAAGCAAAAAAACTCTTAGTTGATTCAGCCCTGAGTCTAGTACTCAGAAGTCTTTACTCAGTAATGGAAGAAATTAGCCCCATTCTAAACTCTTGTCTGGTTCTGCCTAATAACTTAAAAAAGCAAGACCTGAAAGAGTCTGTTTCCAAATAACTTAACCAGCTCTAGGAACAAAGCTCAAGAGTATAAGAAAACAAAAATACCCAGGCCCCAGTAAGGTAAAATTCACCATGGAATACTAGAAAAATGTAAACCAATCTGCAGACCAGGAAGTGGATGCCTGGTTGCCTGAGGGTGTGGGGGGGTGGTTAGGAGGGGTGGCTGTAGCACAGCCCCCTTTGTGAAGGTAATCTGCTTCACGAATGTAAGAGTATTTTAGATAGTCCTCACAAAATACTTCCCCAGTAACATCTAGGCTCATACTTGATCAGATTGGGCACCATAATCAAGCTAAATTGACACATAAAGTTAACCATCACAGAGATCTTAATCCCAAATATGGAAACTGAGGCAGAATAGGGCAAACTAAGGCAGACACTTGACAAAATCTTAAACCCTAGAACATGGTGCCAGACCGGCCAAGTAACTTTTGTACCTTGGCAATTATATTATTTAGTTTTGCATCCCACATAAAATTGTCTTTAGACCGGAACCAAGCTGAACATCTATAAGGTCTATAAGGTCAACTTGTAGATGCCAAAGGTTCTTGCAAACCACTCTGTGTCGGGGAGAACGGAGCAGGCCAATGTAGTCAGGCCTGCACCTAGAGATGCAGACTTTGGCTTGGTGCCAAGAAGCCCTTCCTAACTGGAGTTTCCAATGTAGGCCAGGGGCCTGGCACACCTGGAGGTAAGCAACTCCCTGAGGAAGAGGTTCTATCGTCCACTCACTGAGACTGGGGCCAGGGACCAGAAGGTCTATGAGTTCTGGTAACCCTAGTTACTAAAATATTGCTCACAATTAACAGCACCCCTCAGAAAAGTCCCTGCTTCTTCCTTCTCTCTGTGCCCCTCCCCCCCCCCAGTGGAAACCATCTGTGTCCTTTTCTCACCCTTCCCCCACCTGCCCCTCTCTCCAGTCAGTCTCGCCTGATTAGTCTTTCTGGGAGGAGAGCCAGCCAAACTCACCTCTGTCTCAGCCCCTTTTCACACCCCACCTCATCCTTCGCACCTACCCCCCATGGAGCCCCAGAGGGCCCAGGGGATGCACCATCATCCTGGACAAGTCATGGGTCACCAACCACCTCTCATGCCCACACCCATTAATCATCTCTTCCTGGTGCTTTGCATGGCAGCCTCCTGCACTTGGCTGCTCAGGGGAGTTTTCTGGTTTCATCATTTCAATTAACCTTGGCCTCTTGGGTCACTCTGGATTCCCCTGACACCCCACCACAAACCTAGCCTCTGAAGCCTGCCTGCCTGTGCTCCACAAGTCCTACCTTTCACTCCTGTCACCCAGACAGGCACCATCATGCACCACCTCTATCCCATCATACAAGTGATGGAGAGAGAGAGCCACGGCAGGGCTCTGGAAGCTCAGGTGTATGTGGGAGCTGCAAAGAGCCTAAAAGATTATCTAGTCCACTCTGGTGCATCCTACTTCTCCCCCATTTCCCAGATGGAGAAGTTAAGGCGGGATGAGGGGAAATCTTACTCATAGTCACACCTCAAGTCTGAGGCAGAGACAGAGCCAGCTTTGCTCTTGAGACGCTCCCTGTTGGCCCCCTCTGCCTCCCTCTACCCTGCCTCGTCAGCAGAAAACAGCTTCTCTGAAAACATCAACAAGTCAGGAATGAGTGGAAAAT